AAAAAAAAAAAAAAAAAAAAAAATTTGGGTTTTTTTTTTTCCCCCCCCCCCCAACACCCCCCCCCCCCCACCAAAAAAAAAAAAAACGGGGGGGGGGGGGGGGGGGAGTAACAACAAAAGACTGTAAGCAAACGGGGAAAAGTCATCTCTAAAGGCGTTAGCCTTGAGTCTCTGTCCTCCCTGCTTTGCTGGGACACGGAGATACACCGCTCCTCTACCGCTCCGCTTTATTTCTAAGACACGGGGAGCCAAAGTCTCCGTCCACCGGAGCAGTTTTCTCCGGGAAGCGGTGTTCCCGCGCGCCCGGCCGCCCGCCCGCGGCAGAGCGGAAGGCAGCGCGCGCGCAATCCCCTGGGCAACGCCCGTCGCTGTGGCGTCTCTGGGAGTTGTAGTTTCCCTGGGCCCAGCGGGCCCGCGCGCAAGCGCACAGGGGCCGGTGAGAACTACGCTTCCCAGGAGCTCTCGGGACGGGGCGGGGCTCCGGCCGGAGGTGGTGACAGTGGCGGCTCATTTGTAAGTGCGGTGGCGATTCTGGCGCTAGTTTGAGGGGCTGGAGCTGTCGGGCGTCGCAGAGCGGTAATTCGTAGCGAAAGGAGCGGCGGAGCTCGTTGCCTGCCGCCCGGCACCTGAGAGGGCCGCGGGGCGCGGGGGATTCCCTTTGGGGCCTCGGGGCTGCGCACGTTAACGTTGCATTGTGCCGGAGGCCTGAGCAGCCGCTTCCCCGGGGGTCTCCGTGCGGGGCTTGGCCGCACCTGAACCTGCTGTTCTCAGCGCAGGGGACGCAGCGGCCCGGCAGGGCTGGTGAGGTGGCGGTGCTTGCTGAGCTCAGTCAGGGCCGCGCGCTCATCCTTGTCAGGGCCTTTTCCCTTAAAGCTTCCTGTGGATTCGTGGCTTTCAAGGAAGTATTTCATTTTGGGTGACTGATAATTCACCTCCCGAACCAACTACTTATATTTTACGGCCTACGTCCACTTCTTCCCCCCTCACTAGAGAATTTATCTTTTTTCCCCTTTAGATAGAATGTTTACGTAGCGCTCTTTGGAGGTTTCAAGGCTGTCAGTCTGAAGCTTAAAAAAAAAAAAAAATGTAGCTTAACGCCCAATCGCTTTGCTGATTAAAGTCTTTTGTATACCAAACATTAGTAAATTTTCGTGGTGGGTTGAGATTTGGGCTAGTTTTGAGTAGAACATATAATAGCTGTAAGTAATACCTCTGTTGGCTCTCTTTGTTTACAGGCATTGGGAATTCATTGCTCTTCTAGCTTTTACATTATGTGAACTTAGTAGTGTCATTGGTCTAAAATGTTCCTGATGCCAACCTCTTCAGAGTTAAACAGCGGGCAGAACTTCTTAACCCAGTGGATGACCAATCCTTCTCAGGCTGGGGTCATACTAAATCGTGGATTTCCTATTTTGGAAGCAGAGGAAGAGAAGGGAGCAGCTGTGAACGTTTCTCCCAGCTTTCCAATTAAAGCCACACATTTTTCAAACAGCCTCAGCTTCATAAGTGAAGAAGATTCAGTTCGTGAAAAACAGAAGTTGGAGTCTGACAGCCCTTACAAACTGCAATCAGATGAATCTGAAACCCGTATGATCTTTCCTTTAGTTAAAAAGGGACCACAAATAGTGACATGTCAGGATGCTCCTGGACACCAGGAAGATAACAAAAATGACTTTATCACAGATCTTGAAAGTAAATTCAAAGAAATGGCTTATAAAGACCCACTTTTAAAAAAACTTGAACAGGTACAATAGGATTTGGCCTAATATGTATTTGTGTTATTGCAGATTTCTTGTTTTTTTCCCCTTTACTCCAAAATCCTTAAAAATACCAGATTTTGCCTTTGTCTAATATGAAACATTACAGTGTATTTAATATGTAAGATATAACACTTAAGATAACATCTTTAAGTTGCTACCACATTTGGTAAAAACTAAGTTAGAAATGGTTGATCAAATATTAGGGGAAAAAAGTTGGTGCTACATTGATACCCATCCTATTTTAAGAATCAGAGGATTCATACTAATTTTTCTACTTTTTAGTTGAAATAATTCATATGATTTCCTTCTAAGAAATCAGATTTTAGAGTTCTAATGGCAGATTTAGTTGCTCAGGGATCCCTTTCTGAAAGTATTTATGTGGGAAGATATGAGAAGGGAGCTGGGAGAGATTAAGGTAAGCATAAGGAGCAAAGGTCCATGAAGAAATGTAGTTAGTTCAATAAAGTTAATTTTACATTTAAAAAGCTGAAAGAAGTACAACAGAAGAAGCAGGAACAACTGAAGAGGCAACAGTTCGAGCAACTACAAAGACTCTTGGAAGAACAAGAGAAGCTGCTTACTCTGGTGTCTGGGCAACGTACACTTCCAGGTATGTTTGCTTATGTAGGGTCTTCAGTTAGTACAATGAGAGACAGTTGCATACATTTCTTACCTTTAGTTGTTTGACAGGTTATTTCTACCATTCCTCTAATCATACGCTCCAATTTCTTTAGGGGCCTGGCAGATAAATGTGAAATGGTGGTGGTGTAATATAACTGGGATAGGTAGGAGCTGGGGCATTCTGGAGCACTTGTGCCCTGCTTAAAGGCATTCTTGTTTATTTTAAAAAAAGGCCTAATAGAAGAAAAGCCAAAGTTGGCCTAGAACTACTGGTATCCAATCCCTGCCTGATGAATGAAAATGTTCAGAGTGATAAAGGTAAATATATGTAGAAGCCACTCTGCTCAACTGAAGAACCATACCAAAAATATTTCCTGTGGTTGTAGGTAACAGTATTCAATTGTATGCTGTATCAGTGAACAGAAAGCATCATGTACTTATCAGGGAAAGAAACTGTTGAAATGTGATCTGAAGTGGTGGTTTGAAAGTGTTTGATCACACTCCATAGTAACAAAAACATTTTAAATCATGACTCAGTCACAAAGAAGTTTCACACTATCAGTCTTTATTGGTGTGCTTGGCATGTAGAAAGATATTTTCTATTTTGTTTATTCTAATTCTCTGTCATTTTTAAAAATGCCAGTCATGACCTATTGTCTGATGATAAATTTATTAATGGATTGTGTCCCACAGTTTTAAAAGCATTGAGCTAAGCAATGTGTTTTCTTCTTGGTGCACCTTTTAAGTGAAATACTTCACTGATTCAGCTAAGTCCTGGTTCTGTTCAGAGAATATAAAGAAGAAAAGACATTGGTGAATGAGTATACAGTGTGTGGCTGGGTGGGAGAGGGGGTTGGAGGGTGGTGATAAGTTGTAGCAAGTAAAGAATGTTTTAAGAAATTTGGATGTTTATCCTGGAGAATATAGAGAACTTGGGGTATGTATCTTAAAATAGCTGAATGGTTCAGCATTTCCTTATAGAATACATAAAAAGAATAATCAAGATCACTTAAATGACAGCCTGTCATACTTTTTAAGGTAGAACTAGCACTATGGTAGAGTGACAGGGAAGCAGATCTCAAAGTTATTAATATGAGAACTAGCCCCATTCAGTTATGGAACAGTTTGCTTTGGGGCAGTGGTTTTTAGACTTTCTGGTCTCAGGACCCCTTAGCACTATTAAATTATTGAGGACCCCAAAGAGCTTTTGTTATATGGGCTGTATCTATCAATAAGTTACTGTATTAGAAATTAAAACTGAGACATTTAAAAACTAACTCATTTAAAGTAATCTAGTTACATGTTATCACAAATAACAGTTTTTAATGAAAAACCTTTTCTAAAACAAGGTAGTGAGAAGAAAGACATGTTTTACATTTTTGAAAATCTATAACTTCTGGCTTAAAAGAACTCAGTTGAGTTCTCATATTTATTTCTACATTGAGTTTCTTGAATTATGTTGTTTTGGATGAAATATGTGAAAAAATTCCAGCTTCACATGGATATGTAATTGGAAAAAAGAGAGGAGTGTTTTACTAGCCTTTTCAGATAATTGTGATTTTTCTTCTTTGATATTGCACCTTAACTCAACAAGTGGTTATTTCTTAGCAGTTATTTGCAGTAGGGAATCTGAAACCATATTAAATAATTTTTTGTACTCTATTACATTAAAGTATATTAAATATATTGAATATCTTGGTGTTTTTGTTTGGTTTTGTTTAAGAGTCTTGAAGTATTGTAAAGCTTTCAGGCTCATGGTGCTGTCTGTGTTTTTCAAAATTCTAATTTTTCTCTAAAGGTCAGTTTTTATCATTGGCAGCAAATACTGTCAGTTGTTTTTCTTGAAGTGACTGTCTCACTTGTTTCTTTTTTGAGAAAATGTCTGCCAGATAACCAGGTTTAAATAATCAATTTGTCACTCGTTCTTTCAAGTAAAAATGGTGTTCCTTGGCAGAAGTGGCTTGACAGCCACGGCTCGGTTTGCAGCACGAGTGATTCATATGTGCTCCCCATTTTGTCCCATAGGACGTTTGAAAGACATGTGCTCAAGGGTTAAGGCTTAATAAGATTAGTATTACGTTTTGCTACTTTATTAGGACATTCTTAAGTGAAAGGTTTTTTTTGTTTTAACTCTGAGTGCGTGGTGTTGATATAGTGACTTCTAGCACAGTTGGGTTTGCTGTCTTACTTTGCGTGAAGGTGCGATTTTTCATTTTGCTTTTGCATCATTAGTACATATTTTATGAAAATAATTTTGACCTGATGGATGCCCTGGACGTCTTGTGGACCTCCAGGGGTTTACATACCACATTTTGAGAATGGCTACTTTAGGATATTACTTTTATGAAAGACCTCTTTGATGGAAATGGGGCTGAGGGGTGGGGTGGCTGTTGGTCAAAAAATGCGTAGATGGGGGAGGGTATTGCTTGCTATAAAAAAAGGGGAAGGTGAAGCTGATATTCAGTGAGGTCCTACCTGATTTTCCAGTTTGATTTGTGGGCTGGGATGAGGTAGATCAGTGATAGGTGGCAGTGGCTGTTTTATAAAACATTTCCCATTGTGTCTTCACTTCCAAATTCAGGTGAGGCCATCCAGGAGAGCAGATGGCCAGCAGCAGGATGGCTAGTGTGCCATCTTCCCTCTGAGAAGCGTAGCTCAGGGAATCTTCTGTTTATTGGGTTATTTCAAAAGCAGAGACTTAAGAAGCAAAACAGACAAAAAGTAATACAGGAAATTTAGAAACTAAAGAAAAGTGCAAAAAGCAAAAGTCACTCAGAATTTAACCACCTGACGATACCAAAATTTTAAAAGTAATCTAAATAGGGGAAGGAGGAGCGATACTTTTATAGGCAGTTATTGGTTATTAGGAAACAACTCAGATCATCTCCATAATGGTCTGCATTGGTGCTCCATGTCCGTGTCTGTCCCAGGGCTGCAGAGTTGACGGCTGCAGTGGTGCAGCCCTGCCATACACATGCTGCCTCTACAGAAAGCATCACATAAATATGATCTTACTCAAAATTATATTCACTTTGGAATTTTAAAATTTCATGATTTTTGTTAAACTCTTTCTATAAGGAGCAAAAAATACTTTTATCACTTTGGACAATACTTTGTGGGGTGGGAGTCACTACTAGGCAGAAGAGAAAATGTAGGAAGTTGTCAGCTTTGTTGATTTTCTTAATTGTAAGGTTTTACCTTACTGCCTGATGATCAGAGCCAGAGGTACAGATCTCCAGGAAACTCAAATGCCACTGGAGAGAAAACCACGCCCTTCTTACCATCATATATGTACCCAAATCAAGCCCAAGAAAAAACTCATGCTTCCAACATTCTGTCTGATGAACAAAACAGCTTCTGTAGAACTACTCATCAAGATTTTGTCTTATCTTCAAAAAGTACTTCTTTCAATTTGTTTGATGAGGCGCAATATCAGGATGTGCTTGTGAAAAAAAATGATTCTAAGGAAGAAAACCATAACCATTCCACAGGTGAGTTGCTTATGTTTCTCTCTTCTGTACCTAACTAACAATGTTACCGAGTTGTCCTAAGACAAGAGGAGGCCTTTCTGCGATTTTCCCATCCCCTCTGGTTTTAATTGTAAGGTCCCATTTCCACATGCTGCAGGGCTGCTGAGCCTGAATCAGACCCAGAGGCAGGCTAGGATTTAGGTTTGAAAGAACAATTACAGGGCTCATGCTGACTTCATACTTTACGTGGTAGTGGGGGGTGGGGGGCTTTAGAAAGGGAGGTGACAGGTTCTGCAGGTACCATTTTTATTTGAGAGCTTTGAGATTGAGGTTGATTTAAAATGTGTATGGTGGTGGGGGGGAACCTGATAGAATATGTGAAATGTGAGAAATAGGTTGTTGGTGGAAGTTACTACTCATAAAAGAAATCCCCCGTAACCCAGATACTTGGATTATCTTCACTGTGCCCCCAGCACCCAGCACATTCCTGCCAGGGAACTGACGCTTAGCATTTGATGGTATAAACTTATGCTGCTCTCTTGGTATTTCTAGTGTATTTCATTTTATTTTTAAATTAAATTTATTTTTTATTGTAATATAGTTGATCGTACATATCTATGGGGTACAGAGTTAAATATCAGTACCTGTGTGCAATATGTGATGCTCTCAGATGTATTTCTTTCTAGTCTTTTTTATTTTTTTGTTTTTGAGCCCTATTCCTGCCCCCTGCCCCCCTCTTTTTATACATTGTTGTAATCATAGAATATTGAGTTCTTTTCCCACTCAATATGGAAAATTCTTATGATACTTTCTGAAGTCTCCATAACAATAATTTTAATGTTTGTCATCATTATGCTAGCTATCAAATAAATATATCAGTATTTAATGTTCTTTGAAGTAGGACAATGTTGTTTCTAATATTTTTAAAATTTAATTTTATTTTTAATTTTAATGGTGTTTTCATGAATGTTAATTCATGAAATATATAATATATATATATTATATATATAATATATATATTATATATATAATATATAAGTTATAGAAAATATAAGTTATAGAAAAATACAAATAATATAACAAAAGGTGTCTGTACTCTCTGTTTAGGATTGAACATGTTTGTGAATAATGCTTTATTCCTAATTTAGACTTAATTCCTTCATATGGAAAGCTCAAATGTCTTTTTCTTATTTTTTTTTTGCAATATGTTTCCCTAACCTTTCACTTTGGAAAATTTCAAACATCCAGAAAAGTTGAAAGAGTACTGCAATGATTACTTATATACCTACAACCTAGATTCAGTGGTTAATATTTTGCTATACTTACTGTCAATATACTTATGTATGTGTATATGTGTATATCTATATATCTATGTCTCTGTTTACATCTGTTTGTATATAATTTGCTGAGCCATTTCACTGAAAGTAATATTCATTCTAAATATTTCGGCACATACCAAGTAAAAATTAGGACATTACTCCATAGAACTATACCTAAGGAAATCGACAATTCCTTAATATTTAAGTCCACTTGGAATTTTCCCTGTTATCCCAAAAATGTCTTTTAAAGGTCTTTTTTAAAGAAAGTCAAGATCCAGTCAAGTTTATGCATATCCAGTCAAGTTCATGCATTATGTTTCATTGTTATAAGTCTGTTTTACTCTAGAAAAGCCACTTTTTTTTTCTCATGACATTAATCTTTTGAAGGATGTCAAGTGTCTTAATAGGGGTTTTGTAGTTTTTCTTTATCATATTAAAGAAATCCTTGCACCTTCTAAACTTTTGGCATATGTTATTTTTAATTAAATTTTTTTTTTAATCATTGTAAGTTGTAAAATTTTCATGTCTTAAGACTTTAATCTGCTTCTTTTAAAATAAACTGTTCCTAATTTTTAATCCTAGGAGAAGATACTTTATCATGTTGGGAGAAAATGACAGAACAGATTCAGGAAGGGAATGATATGAACTTAAAAAAAATTGATGGTTCCTCAGAAATGGTTAATGTTGAAGAAAGGTATTGTTCATGTTGAAAGAAATAAGAAATGTGACAGTTTAACGTAATAGCTAGCTTTTATTATTGAGTGCTTTCTTTGTTTGAAAGATGCATACTTCTCTTGTTTTTCCTTGAATATGCTTTTAAGTGTAAGGTTGAAGGTACAACCTAACACATACTGTCAGCAACAGAAAGAGGTTGAGGAGATACATCAGTTAAAGTAGATTTGATGTTGTATTGGAAGAATTGAGTGAGGTTTTTCACTTAAGAGAAACATCTGGGTAAAATTTATCTTCTCTCAAGTAGTTATATTCTATTTTGGGGAAGAGAAGAATTAAGTATTAGAGTCTCACATTTGGTGTCACTTATAAATTATAATTGCATAATTAGTTATAGAATTACAAAATTTTATGGCAAAGATAAAGTATGTATTTTACCTTTTTTTTTTTTTTAAAAGATGACCGGTAAGGGGATCTTAACCCTTGACTTGGTGTTGTCAGCACCATGCTCACCCAGTGAGCTAACCGGCCATCCCTATGTGGGATCCGAACCCTTGGCCTTGGTGTTATCAGCACTGCACTCTCCTGAGTGAGCCACAGGGCCGGCCCGTTGTTCATTATTTTCTTATATATTTGAAATATTTATTTATTTCTTCTTCTTATTTTTTTTTTTTGTCTTTTTTCCGTGTCCGGCAACGGATCGCAACCCTCAGTGTTGCCCCC